AAAAAGAAACCCTTTTTCTAGAATGTTCTTTTCTTACATGTAGTGCACTATTCAAATTTTTTTCTTTTTTTGGTTTTTCGAGACAAGGTTTCTCTGTGGCTTTGGAGCCTGTCCTGGAACTAGCTCTGTAGACCAGGCTGGTCTTGAACTCACAGAGATCCGCCTGCCTCTGCCTCCTGAGTGCTAGGATTAAAGGCGAATTTTCAAGCATTCTTTTTGCCTTCCCACCTCTACCCTTTATTCATGCTTTAAAAAACCCCAATCACTATCAAGCCCAATAAAAATGAGCTTCAATGAATCAGCGAATATTCTCTTTGATTTTTTTCTAATAACTTACCTCATCAGCAGGTAACTGATCCTTGAATTCTTCCATCTTGGTTTCTGTGTCATGAATAATTCCTTCAGCCATATTAACTGCTTCAACGCGTTCCTTAAAAAAATTATGAGTTTAACATAACTGACTTCCCTTAAGTTCTACATCACGTGATACAATAAGTTACTTTCCACACTGTTAACAGTGGAGCTAGAATGACTGTACTCAAAAGTACTTGGGATGACCCAGAGAAAAGAGTTGGCTTTTGTGGCGTGGGAATTTTGATAGCGGGAGGCTAAGAACATTCCAAACCCAGTATGTGCCCTTAGTCCCAGGTACTAGTGAAGGCTGAGAAATGGGAGCGTTGTGGAAATCGTCCTGATCACAGGGTGTAATCTCACATTAAACAAAGTATAAATTAATGAAAGGGAACAATAAAGATGAGAAACTTAAGAGCAGTGACCTGCCCAGTCTGTCAGCTTTAACACGTTCAGCAGAAGTAATCACCTTCTTTCTCCGGTCTTCCTCAGCATACTTCTCTGCATTTTTAACCATATTTTCAATGTCATCTTTGCTTAATCCACCAGAAGACTGGATCACAACTAGAGTTAATTAAAAAAAAAAAATCTCTTTAGTTCTCTTCTTTCACTGTATTAACAAATAACATTACACTACATGGTGCACACTTAATCCCAACACTCAAGAAGCAGGCAACTTTGAGCTTAAGGTCAGTCACAGCTACAAAATAAGACTCAGCCTCCACAATAAACAAGTAAATAAATGCTGCCTCTATTTATAGTAACTAATCTGAATGATTCAAATTATGATTTTAGTTATTGTCTTATAAGTGAGTTGTATAAAAAGACCAAGTGACCTGTCTCTCTGGTGAAACTTCAGCATTCCACAAGGTCAGGCTTGGTTTGTCCCCTCCTAATGTTAACTTATGAAAATTCAGATATTTGTCCAGGTAGAAGTGGCACACACCTTTAATCTTAGCACTTAATGGGCAGAAGCAGATGAACCTTGAGTTTGGGGCCAGCCTGGCCTACAGAGCTAGTTCCAGGACAACTAGGGCTACACACAGAGAAACAAAAAATTTAGAGATCTATGCCAGCATTTGCAAGGAAGAAGCATACAGATCTCATTGTTTGAGGTTAGCATGGTCTGAGCAGCAACTTCTGGGTCAATCAGGGATACAAAGTCAGACCCTGTCTCAAAACAAGCCAGAAACTCACTTCAGTAAGACTGGCAGCAATCCTTTCCAGGGCATTGGACATGCATGAGGTACAAGAAATACATGCAAAGCCAGGCAGTGGTGGCGCACACCTTAAATCCTCAAGACACTGTCTCAGAAAACCAAGAGAAAAAAACAAAAACCATGCAAGTGAAACACCCCTATCTCTGATACCTGGAAAAGGGGGCAGCGTGGTAGCAACCATCCCAGGGGGAGAAAAGGCATAGAAACAAGAGTATGTAGTTCCTAATAACGGCCACCTTACTTTTCCTTTGATGGTAACCAAACCCAGGGCATCACATATGCTGGAAGGCACTCTACTGCTAGACGACGTTCTCAGCATCATACCTCATTCAT